GGAATTTTTTGATGACGCGATGCTTATATTCTAAGCAATCAGAAACCAATAGTTACTTATTCTAGAAGTGATAAAAGTTATAAAAGTAAATATAATAAAATAATCGTCATGACAGGGATACAATAATAATAGACAGGGATAATTAATCTAATTAGCTATACGTAGACTCTCCTCTATTTTCAGTTAACTCAATCCTTAGATTGTATACGTATATATGCATACATATTATTCACGCATACACATACCGTGAAGCTGTGCAGCTCGCAGAGTCACGCTTCTCGTTTGATTTTTCTCCCAAGCTGAGCTGTTCGTTGTGTACTTGAATTCCGTGCACTAGCTGCTTGTATGCAGCGACACTTAATTCACACGAACGAATATGCTAAGTACGTAAATTGATTGGAAATCCACGCACAATCGGAACCGCTTTATTCGAGGGAGCACTGAATTTTCTACAAAACTATAATAGCACGGTACGAACGTCATTCGTCGACGCACTCGTTCGGTAGGCCGGTAAGCACTAACTGCGTACGTGATGATCTGCCCGATTTCTGCTTCCTGTTACACAAAGGAGTTCTAGGAAAAATCCTAGGCGTGTGAGTGACCCTCAAGTACGTAACCTGGGCCTAGTCAACCTCACGTACCAAACATTGCGCGAGGCTCGCGATGTTTTTTGCTAGTAAAACATAAGAAACTCGAGCAAAACAGAAGAAATTCGAGCCAGAGTCGTTGTCTGTATTACGTCGAACTAAACACGAAGCTACGTGCCATTTTGAAAGTGAAACTATCGCGAGAGAGAGGGATTGCTCTCGAGAGTATCTCTGCCCCTGAGCTTCTACCCCTGAGCTGGACTGTCCGAGAGTAAAGTCGTTGAAGAAAAATCGGTGTTGTGGAATCCAACGGATGTAGAATATCGTAACAGAGAAAATTGTGAATAAATGATAAATGTGTAAATTGATTGGAAATGAACTTCAAAATTTTTCAATAAAGGATCGCGTATAATCGGAAACGCGTTGTTCGAGCGAGCACTGTATTACCTTCAAGACTATAATCGCGCAGTATAAGCGACGTTCGTCGTTCGTCAAGGCACTCGTTCGACAGCCTCGTAAACACCGACTGAAGAAGAGTCGTCCTGCCCGATTTCTGCTCGCTGTACGCTCGCAACTATTCTGGGAAAAATTCTACGTCTTAACTTCTTAGAACGCGTGATATTTCTTGCGAGTTAAACATAAGAAACGCGAGCCTGGGTCGCTGTACGTACATCGAGTCAAACATAAAGCTAGCTGTTTGTTCGCGCACAGAAAAGAGTTAGCGGGAAAAGAATTTTCTGATTTTATATTACTTTTACTGGCAAAACCGAGAACAAACTCCACGCACGTGGGCTTAATACAATACAATACGCCATACTGTTTTTCGCTCGACGCATGCGCGGTCGTCGCTCCCAACGCCGCTCGGCGGACGCACGCCGATCACGGTAAAAAGACGCGCCCCTTTTAAATTCAAACCGTTACACTGTCCTTTTGAGAGTAAAACTAACGCGAGTTGCTCGCGAGTGGACACTGCATCTGAGAGTGACTGTCTGAGAGCATCGCTCAACTCTCTGAGAGTTACGACTCGAATAAGCAGTTTCGTATTCTTGACAGAACTCTCGTGGGAGTAAAAAAGGTCAGAAGAAATGAAATCACCGGATACACAGTTAAGAAATGTAAATTCTGTTAGAGTCTTACTTTTTTATTGTACCCCTGTCATGACGATTATTTTATTATATTTACGATAGTTTATTATGACTTTTATTACTTCGAGAATAAATAACTATTCGTTTCTGATTGCTTCGAATATAAGCATCGTGTCATCAAAGAATCCCTTGTTTCGATTAATTTGTCATTAATTATTTTTCATTATTTTTGGCTTTTATTAAACATTAATGTACAACAATCTTGGTAAATAATACTCAATATGAGTTTCTAAGTGGTTAATTTACGAACAGACCATCATCCGAAGAAAATGAGACGGAATATAAGTTATACCTAAGTGTGGTCATACTCTTAACTTGAACGGTATTTTTCATAACTTTCCCAACATTTCCGGGAAAAATGACAATTACATTTTTCGTTCCTTAGGATGCGTAGAATCATGCAGTAAAAAAATTTTTTTGTTCCGGCCGTATGCCAAAATTGGCCTTTTTTTAACATCCTCCTTTAACTATGAAATAATTTTTAATTGTCTCCTCCTCCTTTGTTTACATTCACCCTATTACCAAAAAAGTGAAATTTCGCAGATTTATGGCTCTTTATAGACCATTACTTCCATTCCTATACATTCTCAAAAATTTCTCTCGGTTCAATCAGGTACAAGGAAAAATATAAACGGAAAATGTCCTCGGAGAAATACTGGAAAGAGTTTTGCCGATGATCAGGAAAATCGTTAAAAGAAGTAAGTTTCAGAAGGAATCAACATAAAACTAGGACGGAAGGAGGGAGAACAGAAGCGGAACAAGTGAAGAGAAAAAAGCCGAAGAATACTTTGGTGGTTGGCTCTTAAATGGAAGGGCATTTTATAGGCTAGAATCTATTTTATGTATGCCGGATTTGCGATAACGACTTCGACTTCGAATGTTCCAGACAAAAGAGAAAAAACTGGGTGGAAAGAGAAAGAGAGCAGTTTCACATTCTAAAACGGAAACTAATCCTTGTTTGAGCCTTTCGCCGCAGTTTCGTTCAACGAATTCTCATTCCTATCGCTCGATTGTCACATAAAAATGCAATTATACGAAATATTTCCGCAGCGTATTATTTAATGCAGAGAAAGAAGTAAATTTCTGCACTGTCCCATATTAACCCTTTCGTGACCTCGTTATTTTTCTTTTAAGAAACGCAACTATACGAAATATTCTATTTTATCAGTTAACGCAAAGAAAGAAGCAAATTTCTGCACTGCTCCATATCAACCCTTTCGTGTCTTCGTTATTTTTTGTGAGAATTTCTTATTTATCTACCAATCATCGAGTCTATAGCGGGTTCCCAAATTGAGATCGATTTCTGTTCGAGTACTTAAGTGGGACAAAGTGTCTCAGTGGTCATGAAAGGGTTAAAACGTTGTTCCAGTGTGACGGCCGAAAAATTGAGCAATTTCCAATGATTACTTTATCAGTGGATACGAAGTGTCATAGTATAAAACTGTATAAAACTGATTTATTAACCCCTTGCCTTACGATTTTTCAACGATTATGTGTGTTAGCTTTGACTATTCGCTGCTTTGAAACAGTGTTAAATGGAACAAAGTCAAAATATTGTACAGACTTTCTATTTAGTTAAAAGTCGGTCTTAAACTGAAGCTGAAGTTAGAGTAAAAATATAAATTTAATAGAAATATAATTCTCCTTTTATCACATATTGTTTATAATATGAATATGACTCATCAATATCAAACAAGAGATTAAGATACCGGTAAAGAATATAAAATACTGTTAAAAGTATGAAAATTAGAATTTTTTTAAATGTCAAAGTGAGAACAATGTTTCTACTGTTTAGTGCGAAGTTCGTACATCGCATTGTTCAACCTAGAAATCGTAGAAAATGCGCAACTTTTCACATGCTAAACAGCGTAAGTCTACAGAAATTTAACCGAAAGTAAATGTGTTCGCGATAAATATATGAAAATGTAAAAGCACGCGGAATAATACCCTATTATATTATAATTCTAACTAACGTGGGAGTTTTCTTTTTCTCGATATTATCATTCGTCCTTATTAATATTCATTTCAGCTTTTCAACCAGCAAGGATATTACACGTTCTCACGTTAAACATTCAACAATTAATGGCAGATGTACCGTGGTAACGGGTAATTAAATCATGCTCGAATCAACCACTAAGAATACTTTATCGAGCGCATATTCCTGCACTTGTACGAATATGCCGATGTATTTTCGTCACGAACAACAACTGCGACGGAATTAAAATCTCAAAAGGGGTTTAAAATTTTTTAAATCATACAACTGTTTGATAGGAATAGATGGAATTTGAATTTTTTTTTAATTTATGTAAGTGTAGGAGTGACAGAATTTCTGTGCATGTTTGGTCTGGGACGAGAGTTGCGTGAACGGAGAATACTTGAGCTAGGGCGATAGACTTGTGAAAGAAGAGTGTTTGGGATTGAGTACTTGAGAATATCGTGTGACCAAAGGATGTGTGGATTGCCACTCAAGGATTTGAGTGGACCTGACTGACAATGTCTCCGAGGAATGTCTGCGCAAAGGGAAAAATAATAATAATGAGACAGGAGAGAGGAGACAAAGAGAGGAGTGAGAGAGAATATGCGAGTGCAAGAATAAAAAAGTATAGAAGATGCGTGTGTGGGGTCAAATGAAAAAATTTGTGTGGAAGAGTCAGAGTGGAAAAGTCACTGTGGAGGAGTCAGGGTGGGAAAGTCACTGTGGAGGAATCAGGGTGAAAAAGTCACTGTGGAGGAATCAGGGTGAAAAAGTCACTGTGGAGGAATCAGGGTGAAAAAGTCACTGTGGAGGAATCAGGGTGAAAAAGTCACTGTGGAGGAATCAGGGTGAAAAAGTCACTGTGGAGGAGCCAGGGTGGAAAAGTGACTGTGAAAGACAGAACAGAGACGACGTAATTTTGAAAGACAACAACACAGTCCTCTCTAACTCTACAGCTTCATTATTTATTAAACAGATCTCACTTTAAATTACACTTGCCCAGTCCCGATCACAAAAACCACCAAATCCTACATAACCACCACTTCAACAGAACCACAATCAAATCTGTCCTTAATTTCAAGAATTAAACTACCTTTCTCTATCTATCAAATTACACATTACACACTTTATAATTTCGTAATACATCCTAAGTTCTTATGACCAAAAAATGAATTATCACACCACTCGTAAACCCTAGTATTTCACTTTCTATCAACAAATCCTTTTCTTCTTCACTTCGAAAAATTAATCAAGGCTCGTAGCAATCTGTAAAATATGCAGAAGAAAACTCACCGAGGCTACGTAGTAGTATGTTCTGGAGGGCTGTCAGGACTGGACGGTACTATGACTGTTGGCATATGCCCATTCGCGGTGTGTAAAAGTGGCCTAAGGTGGACAGCACCCGGTGGTGGTGCCCCTATGATGGGTGCTTGTCCCTCGTAAGTTGGCGCTCCCGTAGGTCCAGTAAACGCTGCGGTGCAACAATACGTCCGACTAGATGATTGGACCATTCTCACTGCTTTCCAAAAGTGCATCGTACGAATCTCGTTGTTGGCTATTGAAAAAAGAAGAAACAAATTGTATATTAGTCATTTGAAATTTGTATCGTATCCTGGAATAAAATTGATATAATTTGAACGTGTACAGAATGGCGGACAAAGAAGAGATTTAAATTTGAAGAATAGGTACTTAAAATTGAAATTTAATTCAATTTTTTCTCTACTACCTTGTACAGTGTTTTAGTAATAAAATTTGATCGCTTGTTAAATTTTGATCTGGCAGAAGATAGATATAGTTCGCTTGCACTACAATCTTTAACTCAAAATTCAGGTTTTGTAAAGTGAAGAAAGTGAGTAGAAATTAACTTGGACCTGCTCGAAGTGCACCAGAGTAACAAATATGAATTATACTGCCCTAAATGGAGCCTACAATAAAATCGTTGAATATCTTACACAACTGTATTTTTAAACAATTGGGTAATTGCGAATTCGCGTACACATGGTGTTAGAAAAGCATAAACAATTCCTCCTATAGCCATATAATCGCTGGTACCGAATGCAATGCTAGGTCACCAATGCAAAACAGTTGACACGCACACAGATCGAGATAAAAACTACCGAACATTTTTGCTTTCTGAAGAAAGTAAAGTAAGTGTAGCTTCTGCATATATAATTACCGGAACACCAATGTTTAACGCTAATGGATTATGCGTTACGATTGCTGCGAATGAACAGACGAAAAGTGCAACGATGGACAGAGCACATTTAGAAAATTGCTTTAATTTTTAAATCTCGTTAAAGTTGATTGCAAAAATATACAAACAGATAACACGTGTTTGTATACAAACGATAACAAAGTCATCACCTTTGTAATATTTCATTTCATTCAATTTTCTTCCTAGGCGTTCGCAATTCCCCTACTCTCCCCTACCAACGACCGCGTGGAGTAACGTGCACCAGCAAAATGGCCAAATCACCGACGAAGAATATCAACGTGAGACGGATGGGATACATTCTCCTCTCTTCGAGATGATTAATGACGAGTTAAGCTGTTCTCCACATGATGGAACTTGTATCGCGAGAGATCAACCCAAGGGGGATTCTGGGAACGGGGCACCCTGAATTCAAGCGAGTTATAGCCAATAGGAATTCACCCATTCATACATCAAGATGGCCGATCCCTCGAGGCGTGGTTTTCACAACTGCCTGCATATACAGAAAGAGAGAGATTTCTCGAAGGACCTATCACTCTACGCCACAAATTCTGGACTCACAATGTCATTTTCCTCGCTTAATTGCCGCCATTTAGTTTCAATAATTACCACTACGGAGTAGTGCATGAGCTCATTAAAGGCGTCCTAACGACGAAGAGGTACAGCAATCTTTCTTCTTCTTTCATGTTAACAAGACGAACGATCAAACTCGTGATCCTTTGAAATTTATCTAATTTTGTGCCAGATTCTGATCACTGGCGCGCAACACGATTTACAGAGGATGAAAAATATTCGCGCACAATGTGGTTACACATCGGAGGCCTCCCTCTCGATTTTGCGTTCCTCAAGGTTCTGCGGTTAGCGGTGCAAGACACGCTTCCTGCCGCATTTCGACACTTCTGTTGTCGGTTCTGCTCCAGAAAGATCAATCGATCTGCTCTTCTGTCGGTTATTCCGATTTTTGAAGCCTGAGTCGGCTTTGTGCTGCATTTTGCGACAGAAAGATAGCAGATTGCGTGTTATTGTTGATTTTTGTAAATTGAGTGGAATAATAATCCTGAAAATTTTGTCCTGAAAAATGTGGGATCACTATACCTTGAAGTACCTACAGTATTAGCAGCTTTAAGAATTTTTTCACAGATTCTTTATCACTCTAATCAATTGGAATCACTATGCACTGAAAATTATACTAAAATTTCCAGTTTGGGATCACTATGCGTTGAAGTATTTCATTAGAACAACTTCGAAAATCTCTTTCTTATTACTCAAATTAATTAGGAGCACTGTACATTGAAGGTTATCAAAAAACTTTCAGAAAAAGTCAGAAACTTCAAGAATTTTTTTATTATTCCAATCAACGGGGATCGTTATGCATTGAGAGTTGCACAAAAATTTCCAGATTTTCCAGTGTACGATCACTGTGCTTCGAAGCATGGCAGTAACAATTTTAAGAAAGTATTGCACCAATGTAAACAGCACGAATATCGTTAAAAGAAAAGTATTCAAAATTGACAAAATAACGCGGTCGTATCGTACAAAAATTTCATCCAATATATAGAGATTAATATAAATGAAATGATAGAAATTCACGCGACATATATGTATTAATTTACTTTCATTAAATACAGATTGTATCAAATAATTTATATTTATTCTGTAAACATGGAATAAAATTTTAAAGCGAAATAAATAAATATATGTACTTAAGGCATTCGTTTATTTACCGAACGCCTTTTCTCTCTTTGTACAATAACCAAAGATCGACAAAATTGTTGTCCTGTAAACATTCTGCACGCCCCAACTGATGTTTGATAATGTGTTCGATCGTGGCATTAAAATATAAACGTGTCGTGTATCTTAAACGCCGCTTTATGGCCAAACAAATTTGCATGTCTCACATATCAGACATAATAATAGCGCTCTGTAATTATACTGTTTCGAAAAAGGCGTGGTTTCGATGGTTCATCAATTAGTGCGGAACAAAAATGTGAATGTGTTCGGGCAAAGGCTGCGGCAGCAGATGTAATCATAATAAACAGTTATCTTGTTTTTATTATCGACGGAGAAAGCAGTGAATGTTTCCAATTATCAATTTGATAGGTCCATTTGATGCGATTAAAAGAAAAATCTTGCAAAATTGCAAATAAAAGTTGTAACTTATTATGGACAAATTACTTGTCACATTTTTCTATTGTTAAGACAGAGACATTTAAATATGTATTTTGCAAAGCATGTTTGAAAAATTAGGAATTTAAACAAATTTTAATGAAAGTGTTATTCATTTTAGATTCCATTTGGTAATATTCGTAACTATAATAAAGGTTACAGTGAATTAAGTATAGATCTTTCCATTTTATAGATTTGCAAATTTAAGAAATATGACTCTTTCTTACTAAACACAATGTTTCATACTTTTCAGCGATAATTATTTGTTTTGACACTGCAGTAATGTAAGGACTTTAAGTCTGTTTTTTTTATTATTTCAAAGAGTAACAAAGGAGTTTGAAAATATTAGCTCATTTTCGCAAAGAGAGAATAATTATCTGCACTTGAGGGAAAAGGAAACTGATTGCAGACCATGTATTATAGTAATAAATTTGTGATTGATATGTGCTGCGAAAGAAGGACAATTAATTCATTTGCATAAGTGTAACAGTCGTTTGTTACGAATATACATTTCAAAACGTACTATTGGCAGCCTAACTTACACCTTAATATTACGAAATTCCAAGCTGAATAATTTTTTAACCACTGTTTTCCATATACAGTTACTCTTATCAATATTTCGTCTTAAAAGTAACCTTTGCAATTTTCCTCGCGATTCCCACAAATTTCAAATTTTTCCAAATTTTTCAGACACGTCATCTGGTAAACTAATCCTTCTAACTTCTCAAAAAAACTCCAGTAGTTTGGTCGAATTTGAAAAAAGTTGCACTGTGCCAAATGGTGACCGAATATTAACAAGAATAAACAAGAGATCGAGCAATCGAGAAATTCAGGCCTCAAGGAAAGAAAATTTTCCTATCTGGAAAATTAATGAATCGAAGTGGCTTTACTGAAACTGTATTCGTACAATAATCAACGACCAATAAAATTTCACCACCTTATTACATTCATTTCTCAATTCAAACATAATAAACAATAAATTCCACGGCGCATCGTAATTAGATACAATCATGGTACACCCTTATTCCTGAAAAGTCATTTATACGTATACTTAAATATAAGTAGACATTACAATTTCACCTGCCTTCTGTACGTTCTCTCCGTGTAAGTGTTACAACGCGAACAATTTTATTATTACTTAAAACACGTACTCCTTATCATTTTAATTACATTATAAACTCAAATAATTATTTGCGTAATAAGGGACACTTTCACCAACTTTATTAACGTGTTTTTAAACATCCGAACGAAAAGTTCCCTCGAAGAAAAAGAAGAAGAGAGAAGCAAGCATTCGGGTTAACACGCGTGCATGAGCTGCTCCCGATATCGCCGTTACGCTTAATCACGCACCTCTTATCGCGAACACCTTCGTTAATTGGAAACAAATGAAACGAGCCGAGGCGAAAAAGGGAAACAAGAGTTTCACACTTTGAAGCGGTGAAATTTCGACGCCTGTGAAGAACGAAGGGGGCATGATCTGTATCTCGAACGTAGAAATACTAGAGAAGTGTTAATTGAAAATTAGGGTTCTTCGAATAATAATAAACTATAGTTGACGACCTGAAAATGATACTTAACTTTGGCATTTCTTTCTTTCTTTCTCTTTTTTAAACATAATAATTGACTTAATCGAAAATTTGTCATAAGGGGTGTGTTATAGTACCTTTGAAGAATATGAAAGTATTTTTTCACTTAATTTCGCCGAAAACCGCCGAATTTCTATTTCAGGATTTTTTTTAAATTCAGTCTTATAGAGATTAACAATGTCATTCTGAGAAAAACGTGTTTGAAGTTTCGATTACCGATTAGTAGCTCTAATGTTTCACCAAAACTATTTCGATTATATTTTTAAAAGCACAAACTACCAATTTAAGCAGAAAATATTTATAATACACTATTGCTCGTGCTATTACAATTAATCGTCCGACTTTTCTTCGTTCATGAGATGACAAATTTCGGTCGATTTTCTTTTACATTCAGATGAAGAGACAAGAGTAAATATGAGAAATGTAACAATTATAAATTTTCAAAATTACAATTACTATGAAAATGTGTTAGAAGCTATATTTTTAAATTCACCGCATATAGTCATATTTCCTTTTCTTCTTTTTCGTTCGCACTTCCATTATCTCTCTGTTACAGAGTATAAAAAAGGAAATTATAAGAATTCTGTTTCT